CAGTTTGGCACTGTGGAGAATCTTCTTTCCTGGAAGGAGTCATTCCACCAGATCCATTACTAAGTTTTCCCTGGAAAACACATCATCATCTTGTTCTCTTCTTTTTTAACTCTGTGCTTCCCCTCATTATCTCTCCTTCCAGTTGTGTAACAGAGCCGTCTGTGTCCATCCTGTGCATCACAAAATAGCTCTGCTGCCATGTGGCCACTCCACTTCTCTTTCCTCACTTCACCTATTTGCATTTCAAAGGCAAACGGCGGGTATTTTGGCTGACGCTAACACTGACTGGGGTGGATGAATGTATGGCGGGTGCCCGGACGCTCAGAGCCAAGAGCCCAATGATTCAGCTTGATTTTTAACTGGTCCCATATTACGGCTTTATACGAAAATTGAGCAAACCCTTTCTCAGAACCCAGAGCCTTTTTTATGAGGAATATGACCAGGCTGACTAAAGCATTATGTGCACATGTTGGACGTTTTTAGTGATTTTTGCCATCTGAGACTAAATTTGTAGATTGAGATTTGTTTTCAAAGCAAAAAAAAAAAGTCTAAATCTTATATGCTGACTTTCCAGCAGAGATAACTTTGGTCACTTTACCTGTCAGTCAGGTGGCCTCTTCCTAGACGCCAAATGAAACAGTTATATACCATCAGTCAAATGTCTGGATATCACATTATATATCAGGTGACAACAGCTAAAGAAAGAGATTTGCTGGAAGAAAAAAAAAATCTCTGTTGATTACATAATCGGGTGTTTCTTCACATTTAGCAATTCCTTTTTGTTATATGAAGATCACATTGAAACTTCCTTTTTTACCATCAATAATTTTTCAAATGCCTTTTATGTTTAGATTTCATTAGTTTACCCATGTCCCAGTATTTCAATATTAAACTATGAAAATCCATCATAAAAATGTTATCAAAAAAAACACTGTTACATTTTTAAAAACTGGTGTTATATTCTAAACAAATCGAGAAATACCTTTTTTTTTTGATTATGTGAAAATTTTTATCAAAATCAAAAATTCCATTTGTCTCGTGATGTCATTTCCACCACGCCGAACAAGTTTGCACATAACATTTATTTATTTTATTTTTTTTGCCAAATTATGCTATATATATATATATATATATATATATATATATATATATATATATGATACATTATAAATACTCATTACTCTCATTAATTATAAATTACTCACCATATAAGACAAAAAGAAATCTGCAACAGTATCTATTAAACACAGGTTTGAGATGGTGGAAATGGCCAATTTAATGGGATTTTTACTTGATTTTTGGGAAAAATTAAAAAAAAAAATACAGAATTCTACTGAAAATTCATGAACAAAACTGTATTTACACATTGTTACTGAGCAAAGAAAAATAAATGCATTAAGTGTAAAAAGTGTGTTTTAAAAGGGCAAAAAGTGCCCAGCCCGTTCTCATCCTTTAACGTCATATAGAACGCTATATGCAAAAACGGCGCTATACTACGCATATGGAACCCTTTATCGTTAATATATCACGCGAACCCAAGACGTTATAAATCCTTTAGCGTGAATGTGACACGCACACGCTACCCCACACCTAAACTTAGCCCTCACAGCGCGTGTTATATTAACGATAACGTGTGCCATGCGCGTAGTATAGCGCCGTTTTGTCATATAGCGTTCTATATGACGTTAAAAGATGAGAACGCGTTGAAGTGCCCAATAGCGGCTGCCACAAAAGTTAGTTAGAAAAAAATCTTTGCCGGGAAACTCATTTACTAATAATAGCACAAAGACTTGCTTTTGTTTACTGAACACCTTTTCATCGCATCCGTGCGCAAAACTGAAATCAATGCGAACATGTTCCGCAGTCCGTCATGCGCTTTACCCAATCACACTGGCGTCGTTACAGTCTTGACAAGCAAAAATCATTTAGTGTACAGCCGGCTCAAGAGGCATTGAAGAAAGGAAGGTTGGAGGAAATATACGAGAGAGAAGGAGAAGGCTCTCTCCAATCAGACATTGAACGCATCATTGCCACACACACAAACTGCCTCTAAATAAAGCATGACATGATGCAGAGCTTCTATCTCTCACTTTCTGGAACTTTCCCCAGAAGGGTCAGATAAGTACGCAGAGCATTGAGGGAAAACATTGTGGAGGAGAAAAGAAAAGAGTGAGGGAGGAAGAGCACAAGGGTGTCATCCACGTCTGGTGGTCTGGACATCATCTTACATAACTGTCTGGCTTCAGCTCAGTGACATGAGAACCTATAGCACTAATGACGCTAATGCGCTTTGACAGACTACATAGAGCCTGGGATTCTGTTGGGACACACGCCAGACTTTGAGTGGCATTCGGAGTCTCATGAGCGGAACCGAACAACAAAGAAAGATGCCAACTCAGGCACATCATCTGTTTTCATGTACATTTGCTTTCATCTTCAACCACACATAATTCAGTAGATTAAAACAATAGTTTACCGAAAATGAAACGACTGTCATCATCATGTACTCGCCCTCGTGTCATCCCAAACCTGTATGATTTCGTTTATCCGGGGAGCCCGGGACTGAAATTTGAGAATAACCTGGACACTGTTCGTCTCATAATGAAAATGAAATGGGACAGATCAGCAAACTAAAAAAAAAAAAAAAAAAAAAAAAAGCATGCGCAACATTATCCAAATGACGTGTAGCATTACGGTAGTTTCAATTGATGAGGTTTGGTCACGGGACAATGACTTTTGATGGGTTTTTTGGTTGATGTTTTGCATAATTTCAGGAGAATAATGGCATTAATTGTATTTTTGTATGAGTTTGTGTATTGTGTGAGTTGCATGTCTGCTTTGAAACAATCTATTTTGTATAAAGCGCTGTAATAGAAATAAGGGTGAATAATAACACCTTTATGGCACTTTTATGGTGTTTTTTTTTTGTCATTTGTAAGCTTGACAGCCCCTGTCCCCTTTTATATTCATTATATGGAAAAGAATATTCTTCAAAAAATCACCGTTTGCATTTCTGAGAAAAAAACACAACTACTTTATTCTCGATATTTAATGAGTTTATTCTCAAGATTGTATTTCGACTTTTTTTCTCGAAATTTGACGAGTTTTTTCTCGAAACACGACGACTTTATTCTCGATATTTAATGACTTAATTCTCAAGATTGTATTTCGACTTTTTTCTCAAAATTTAACGAGTTTTTTGAAACACAACTACTTTATTCTTGATATTTAATGAGTTTATTCTCAAGATTGTATTTAGACTTTTTTTCTCTAAATTTAACGAGTTTTTTTTCTCTAAACACAACTACTTTATTCTTGATATTTAATGAGTTTATTCTCAAGATTGTATTTAGACTTTTTTTCTTGAAATTTAACGAGTTTTTTTCTTGAAACACAACGACTTTATTCTCGATATTTAATGAGTTAATTCTCAAGATTGTATTTCGACTTTTTTCTCAAAATTTAACGAGTTTCTCTAAACACAATGACTTTATTCTCGATATTTAATGAGTTTATTCTCAAGATTGTATTTAGACTTTTTTTCTCTAAATTTAACGAGTTTTTTTTCTCTAAACACAACTACTTTATTCTTGATTTTTAATGAGTTTATTCTCAAGATTGTATTTAGACTTTTTTTCTCTAAATTTAACGAGTTTTTTTTTGTCTAAACACAACTACTTTATTCTTGATATTTAATGAGTTTATTCTCAAGATTGTATTTAGACTTTTTTTCTCTAAATTTAACGAGTTTTTTTCTTGAAACACAACGACTTTATTCTCGATATTTAATGAGTTTATTCTCAAGATTGTATTTAGACTTTTTTTCTCTAAATTTAATGAGTTTTTTTCTCGAAACACAACTACTTTATTCTTGATATTTAATAAGTTTATTCTCAAGATTGTATTTAGACTTTTTTTCTCTAAATTTAGTGAGTTTTTTCTCGAAACACAACGACTTTATTCTCGATATTTAATGAGTTTATTCCCAAGATTGTATTTCGACTTTTTTCTCGAAATTTAACGAGTTTAATCTCGCATTATAATGACTTTAATCTCCAGATGGTTTTATTTTTTTTTATTATAGCTTGGCCCTAATCTTTTTCCGTACCCTCGTGCACTGTTTATGACTTTCTTTCTTCAGAAAAACACAAACGAAGATTTTTAGATAGAGGATAATCCATCTCTGTGAGTCCAATGAATTAATGATGTCTTCTAAATGTCTTCAAAATCAATGCTTTCTGTGGAAGTGCGTTGTGAAGTTCATCTGAGAAATGGCAGTCCCCTTTGCTTCCACGTTACTTCTCACTCGAACTTCACAATGTACGTTCCACATTGTCTACCTCATGATTGCTCATATGAACCAGACATTGATTCATCCACACTGGGGTCATGTAGATTGTAACCGTTGTCATAACCGTTGTCGTTGTGTGTGATTTTTCAAGCGTCAAATGAACGGCAGCCATTCCAAAGGCATTATATGGACTCAAAGATTATTTTCCTAAAAATCTCACTTTGTGTTCATCTGATGAGAGAATGTTCATGTTTGGGTGAACTACACCTATAACCATGTTCTATTGAAATATATTTCATATTATATATAGATATATATTTGAAATAATTTTCAGCACCATAACTCTCTAAGACTGATAACTCAGTCTTCAGTGTCACATGATCAATCAAAAGTATTCATTCTAATACACTGATTTGCTGCTCAGGATAGATTTTTTATTATTATCAATGTTGAAAGCAGTTGCACTGCATCATATTTCTGTGGAAACCGTGATGCGTGTTTTCAAGGTTCGTAAATCTTGAGTCATCGTGTCTTGTCAGTTCAACCTCGTTTTTGTTGGGTAAACTCAAAGATGTCTCGATGTTAAAAGGAAAGTCAAAGGTAAGATGGCAAATTTGTGTGGTCTTTGAGAAGACAGTAAGTTAATAGCTTCAAGAAAAGGAGTGTAAAAACAGGGCATGAGTAATTGTCTCTGGCTCACGTTCCTTTGTCTCCATTCCCAGGTTGCTCACAATGGCCTTATTCTGGAAATGGACCACCCAACATCGGGAAGGATAGCAGTGCCAGGTTTGTATAGAATTTGCTGAAGTGCAAAACATTCCTGCAGTCCTTCATTCAGATCACTTTTAAGCACCTATTTCCGAGGTGGAACTGAGATGTGGTATTCTTGCATATCGGGAACACATCCTGTTTCTGGAATAGTTTGTGCAAAAAATAATTATTTTATTACATTATTCAAAACATGTATGCAACTTCTTTACTGCAACATAAAAGGAAGAAAATGTTCTATATAGAATCTCATAGGGGTATCAGTCATGGGATCATTTTATGGATTTAGTTGTAATAAATTTTGATATTTAATTTTGATTTACATTTAATAAATAAAACAGCTCATAAACATACTTCATCACTAAAAAAAATATAATAACTTGAAAAATGAACTTTTTTTTTTACAATGCAAAGACATTTCTCCTGACATAGAACCTTTTTGGCATAAAGAGTTCTTTAAAATTGAGTTAAGAGTTTTGTATATTCCAAGTCTTCTGAACCAAACGGGTTTACAACAACATAATGTTGATGTAAGTAAAGGCATAATTTTGATTTTTGGGTGAACTCTTCCCTTAACCTCTTTACACTTGAACTTTCAATTGCTTTTCTATACTATTGTGGGACAACAATCACCTATCAGCCATCCCTTGACACTCTCATCATCCAGATCCTTGGATTTTGAAGAGGTCTACTTCCCTCTGCGACTCTCTTGTATCGAACATTTATTTTGATGTTTTGTTTTGACTTGTCTTTGTCCGGTCAATGAAGTAAAGGTTTCCCTGGTGACTCAAAAATCACCCCATGCTCTTTCATTCTTCGGTGTGAGAGTCCCAGGGAGACGTTTTCTAAACTCGTCTTTTCGTTTGATCATCCACATATTTAAAACGAGCCATCATTGATCCCCACAACGGACATGTCTGCGGTCTGGTGAGCTTTTTGCCCCTAGAAAACAATGTTGAACGGAAAGACGACATTTTAGAAAGGTTAAATGCAGATGTTAGCTGTCGCCAAGAGAATGTACAATGTCATTTTTCTCTCAACAACTCGATTCCCGCTGTTTTCGTGGTACTTCAAATGTCATATCCTGATGGACTCACTCCAGGCCTGTGGTTTTACTAACAGTAAATTTAGTTGCTGTTTGCAGCTCTGTAAACACACAAGTACATGAATGACCCCTGTTAATGATCAATGCTTTTTCCCTTCAGTGGCTAAAAAGCAAAAACTGGCAGGAGAGGACCGCTAATGGTATTGTCATGGCTATTTGGTTAATCCTTTTGTCTATGCATACAAAGAGTCCTTAACCCTCTGGGGACTAAAGCCCATTTTGGTCCATTTTCTCTATTTTTACATTTGGGCTTATAAACCATATGTAATGGAGATGGAACACCATGTGTTTGGTATCTATGGATTCAGAAGACCCTAAGCTAGCATGGAATGTTTTTCTAAAGGTATAAGTGAAACATGTACAATAAACTAGAGAATTTCAAAAATGAAAATTTAAAAAATTATTTTTGCCATTTATTACTGAAAATGACACCTCACACAACAATAGTGAACAGTTTTTGAACAAAAAAATTGTAATAGACATTTGTAATTTTTAGGGGTGCACGATATATCGAATCAATATCGTTATCGCGATATCACGTTGCTCGATATAAATATCGAAAGTCGTGCGATATTTGTGCAATATTTTGTTTATGGTGCGTCCGTCACGTGCGTGCATTTCCCCCGATTCATTTCCTGATACTCCTTCTCCATAAACAACATGAAATCAAGGAGAGGTTTAACTTTTCATGCTACAGATTTCCCACAGTGGTCAGAAAGAACAGGGGAGACACTTTGTTTTTCTCAAGAGTCGCTCTTCGCTTCAAAGCTAATCGCCGTCACTCTCTCACTACTACCACACAGTCCTCCCACACACACACTTGACACGCACAAGCATAAACGTCAGGTCACCTGGCAACTTCATGCGCTTTCACTGATCGGATATCTGATTTATCAAAATACGATCTTCAATTCCCGCGCTATACAGATTTAATGGAGTGCACGTACGTCACCGAAAGCAACAGTTATGGGCTGCATACGATCAGCAGGTAAAATAAGATTGTTCATTTATTTTTAATGAAGATAACTGTGTGAAAGCGTTTGCGACTTACTTTCACTTTGATTTGCCATAGTTTGCGTGTTGGCATGATGAAGAGATGCTCAGCTGATCTGCGGTGATGCGTGTTGCAGTTGCGCGCGTCGTCATATCTGGCCATAACATGACAATTGCCTGTAACGTTCTCATTTTTAGCGTTTTTGGAAGGAGTAGGCCTACATTTTACATATGTGGTTTATTCAATAACGAGATGCATTAACATTTGTCCAGTTTCGTCTGGAATGCGGCCCAGACCTCCTCCTGAAGTGGTTTGAGCGATTAATTTCAAATATGTCACAAATTTACACCTACACCTGGTTGTAAATTTGCATTTACACCTGGTCTTTTCACGATCAGATAGCTGTCCGGTCAAAGAAAACGCATATAGTGACGTTTATGTTGCATATAGTGTGTTCTGTGGACTTGCTAATTTATTGTCTTTTACACTGTAGTGTAGGCCTACACAACTAGTAAAACATGTCCTGTTCTGTAGACATGGTTATTATTTATATATTCATGCTGTACCAGTCCAATATGACTGTCAGTTGAAGTAAACCTTATGTTGTAAGAATTTTTTTTTTCTTTTTTTATTTATTAATCTTTTTTTGATGTGTTTTCCTATAACTTTTGTAGTTTTACAAATCCATTTAAAAATATCGAAATTAATATCAATATCGCAATATTCATTATCGATATCGCAATATCACATTTTTGTCAATATCGTGCACCCCTAGTAATTTTTCAACCAAAAGTAAAATATTTCATGATCTGTGAAAAAGCTGTTAGCTTCGGATTTCTCCTCGTCACTTTCCAGTAATTGTTCCAGAGTTTGTTCTGAGTTAATTCTTTTACTGCTTGCCATCATAAAATTGCTAAAACAATAAGATAATAATGCTATAATTGCTATTATACTATATATCTTGAAACTTTCAGGTTTATAAATGGGGGTCATCTTTGAAGGATGAACAAATAATGTTTTGGTCGTCACATTACAAATAACATTTAAATATATATATATATATATTTATTTATATAATATTTCAGTTTTGAAGAGCTGGAAAAGTTGTGTGAAGTACTTGTAAGCATTTCACTATTCCAGCCAAACTGGTTCCAGTTAGTGTTACTATATTAAATCCATGGTGAATGTTGCTGGTCTGTGGACGTAAAGTATTACTAGTTCATTCACGGCACAGTGTTTCTCCTGGTTTCCATGACAGCGCTGTTTGATCTAATAGAGATCTACGGTTAATAACGGAGAAATGTGAATGCATCTCACTAGATCTCGCAGCGATGTTATTACTTCAGTGGCGAATTCAAATGTGCTGTGTAGTAACAGTGTCGCTTGATCGAGATCAGTGCTGGTCCGAACTGATAAACGATCCGTGAAGCACATAACGAGTAGCGCAGTTTCGTTCCGCTTTCATTACGCTTGCCATTTGATGTTGCGCAGTGTTGTGGTGGCCGCGCCAGCGCGAATTTTTTTCGGCTGGAAAAATGGTCGGCTGGAAAAATATATATATAAAATTCTGTCTCTCTCTCATATAAATCTCTGTGCGCACTCTAATACTCCGCTCTGTTCGCTCTCTGTCTCCTTCTCCACTCGACACAGTTTGCGTGAAATTGCGTCATATCACTTACTATAATCCCACCCCTTGCACGGCTACAGAGTCCTCTGATTAGCTAGAATATGTCATGGTATCCTTCCTCTGATTGGGTAAGAAAAATATTCCTCCCAGCGGCAATATTTCCATTGGTCTTTGCACGTATGCCGTTTTGGGCGGTACCGCCCAATCCGTCCCCAGAGGGTGAAAGTTCCGGCCTCACACCGTCCACCCAATCTTATCTTTTTCACGTGCACCAAAAACATTTTTGAATGAAAAGCTCTCCAGCGAATTATGCAAGCTTCCACAACCACAAAACAAATGCATTCCTCATCAACTGTCTCTGGAGTGATACAGGGATAATCAGGCGGGTCCTTTGATGGCCTCGAACCGTTGTTTACCAGTTCATTGTTAGCATGTTTGTTGACTCCATCCGAACCAAATCAAGGATGATTGTCAAGAATTTCTCCGAAAAGAAGGGGCAGAAACCACAACAAACACCTTTTTCCATTCCGCATTCCTCGTCCCTGACCCATAAATTTGCTGTAACACCGCAACGCATACTCGAGGCCTCTAATCTTGCTCAGCTATTTACATAACATCACTGTCTGTCCATGTTTTCAGAAGTTTTTTTTTCTTTCTCACCAGCAGCTGCACATGTGGAGCGTTTCCCGCCTTTGGTGACTTTGTGATGTTATCAAACATTTCACAGTTGATAATTCGTTCGTTTTTGAGCACGTCAGTCGGTACCGCACTATTTATTCCCCCAAAACCTCTTCACACCAAATGTGAGGCACAAAACAACCCAAAATGGAGCCCCGGACAACATACAAGCGCGAAATTGGCCATTAGCTGCCATCGACTGTAAGTAAGGGATGTCAGGGTTAGAGCTGAATGAGACCAAAATGGCTTTTTACAAAACCATTGGACAGCAATGAGGGTTATAAGATTACATAATAGGCAAATTGCTAATGACCAGGCATTCACAGGGATGCCTGTGTGGGCGAAACTACAGGAATGCATGTTAAGAAACATCGTCCGGCTTTTTAAGGCACCAGAGAGCGAGAACGAAAAGGGCTCAGAGGATGTTTTTTGTGCCGCTGATTGCGAGAAGCTGCCTCATTAGCGATTGTGCAGGACAGTGTATTGTGAGGCACTTCCCAAAATAAACCCCTTTATTTAAGCCAAAGGCCCTTGGCAGAAGCTTCTTGTTAGCTGAGTTTGCGGTTCTCTGGAATCTGACCAGCTAAGGTGAACATTTGATGATGTGGGAACGT